CAGTGGCTCACTGGTCGCCTGTGTTTTCCCCGGTGCCCAGAGGCAGACTCGTGCACACACTCAGGTGTCTCCTTGTCGGTGCCCGGGGGGTCTGGGTGGCCTTGCTGGGGTTGAGTCCTGGCTTGGTAATGTGAGCTCTCACATGGTGCCTCACCTGTGCCTCAGTTTCCTCGTTTGTAAAATGGGGGCAAGAGCACCTCTCTCCCTGGGCACTGTAGCACTTACACATATGCTTGGGTGAAGTGCTCAGAGCAGTGTGGACACGGGAGGGCTATTGACATGGCCGTCCTGTCCTGGCTGTCCTGTCCTGGTGGCGCATCTGAGGGAAACAGTGCCCCTTCCCACGGGAGCGTCCAACCTTCCGCACCTCACGCCCCTCGGGGCTCCTCTGCATAGAGTGGGGCTGCAGCAGCCTTCCCGGGATAAAGCACGAAACCCAGCCTGCCTGGTAGGGTGCTGGGCAGGTGCTTCTGGAACCAGGGTCTCCAAGGTCATCATCTGGGGCTCTGTGCAGAGACGTGCCCCAGTCGTCCAGTGGTGACCTCCCTGCAGATGGGGCAGGATTAGGAGGCATTAAAACAGTCTTGAGTTCGAACCCAGCTCCAGCCTATACAGCCCTGTGACCTTGGTGGGGAGGATTCCTTGACTCTTGAGTTTCCATTTCCTTATCTAAGAGAAGGTCATGGATGATTCTCAAAAACACTGGCAACAGAATCTGATGAGATGGTCTCGTGTTTCGAGGCCTGGTGGGCCGAGGGGGCCTGCTGGGCCCTGGGGGTGCATGGTCCTTGGTCTGGGTGGGGGTGAGGGAGGGGCTGGGCGAAGGGCCCACCCTCAGAGCTTCGGCCTGAGAGGAGAGCCCTCCTGGGGGATGTCTGCCCGCCCTCCCGGCTCCCTCACAGGGCTGGGCACCCTACTCCCAGCCTCCGACCGTCTCACACCCTAGACAGAGGGGCAGCATCTGCACCCCCATGTTGTCCATTAGTCTCCCCCCACCCAGTTCTTCGATAAAACCTTTTCAGTTTTCTGTGCAGGACCACGTGAGCTCCCCAGCCACCATGCCCCCTGCTCTTGTGAGCTGCCACCCCCGAGCCCTCCCTTCGGCGGAGCACCGACCCGGAGCCCCCACCACAGCCAGTGGGCCCGAGGTGCCCCTTCAGCAAGGGGCCGTCTGCATGGAGGGTGGGCCAGACTCAGGCCCACCGTGCACCCACACTTCCCCCTGTCTGGGCTCCCTTGTCTCTCTGTGGCCCCCTCCAGCCCACTCATGAAGCCACCATGTGGAGCTGGTGAAGATGTGAGGCCACCACAGGGCGCCCAAGGCCCGCAGCGGCACCACGGAGAAGACACAGGCAGTGAGAACTGGGACCTGCAGGGACAGCTCCTCTGGGAAGTGCAGAGCCCCTCAGAAGGTGAGCTGGAGGGGTTTTCTAAAGAAACTGACAGGTGTGGCTGAGTTAGGTTTGGTATTTTGTGCATGTAATGCACACTTCTTTGCCCAAATTGTTGGAAAAATGAGGATGTGCGCTATACATGGGTAGTGCTCATTCTGTGTCTCCTTGTCTATGAGGAGAGACCGATCTGCGTCTTTTTCTCTGCCCCGCCTAGGAACTTTTCCAACCAGCTCCTCCTCTGTGGTCCTTGCACCGGGTGTTTCTCGACATAGCGGGTGGCCCGCCTTTGGCCTAGAGTTTCTGATAACAGATGTGCATCCAGAGACTGAATTTCTACTCCAGAACTCTCTTCTTGCCCCCTTCTCCCTCTCCCTCCCCTTCTGCCCCCACTTTCTCCTCTTTGCCCTCCTCCTTCCCTCTCGCCTCTTCCCCACTCCCCCTCGCTCTTCCTCCTCCCCCTCCTTGAGATTTCTGTCCTTCGTTCTTTATTGTGATTCCACTGGAGCTTGGACATTCTTTGGCCTGACAGTGAAACCTGATGCACCTTTCTGACTTTGCTCATGGTGGCCGGGGTGGCGGTTGTGTCGTCATCCAGGGGCGTGCTGGAAACCTCGCATGAGGCTGTTCTACCAGCAGTCGTTTCTAACGTAGGGCAGCTGTCCCCAGCTTTTTTGGCACCAGGGACCAGTTTTGTGGAAAGCAGTTTTTCCAGGACTGGGGGCCCCGGGGGGTTGGTTCTGGGATGATACAAGCGCATTGCATTCAAGCCCACTTCCTGCTGTGTGGCCCGTTTCCTGACAGGCTGGGACCGGTACCAGTCGGTGGCCCAGATGTTGGGGACCCCTGACTTAGGGGAAGGACACACATGTATATGTCAGCTCCTTGGAGACAGGAAAAAGGAATGTGAATCATTGTTTCCGCCAGTATCCTTCATCTCCCTTCTGTCCCTGGCCATATGAGTCATAATATTGGCTGCCTGCTTTCTTGACCTGTTGCTGGCCCATATTGCCAACACTGAGGGCAGCCACGGTGGGCCTGTGGGGTGGCTCATCTGGAGTCTGTCCCCACCCCTGAATCGGGTGGTCTGGCTGGGGACCCTGGTCTCAGAGAACACTAATTCTCTGCCCCAGCATACTGTTCGTTGTTTTAGTACAGTGTTTGTGCGCATGCTTCCTTCTTGATTTGTCTTTCCCATTTTTTTTTAAGCGTCTTGCTCAAACTGGGATCACAGTGACTGCGAGGGAGGCTGTTCTGCTGCAAGCTGGTGGCTGGAAAAGGCCACCCAGAACTCAAGGACATGTGGGATCTGATTAAGGTGAGCGCTCCAGCGTCGGTCTGCTTTCCGCAGTGCAGGATGTCCGACGGACTGGAGGGCTGGCATGCTGTCCAGCGTCTGGTGACTGGACTGTACCCAGACAAGCTCTTGTCCCGACTAGGATTAAAGTGTTAAGTCAAAATTGGGTCTTTCTTGGCACTTCCTAAAACTTAACCAGTTAGAACATTTGGGTTACAAATGTCAAAGGCTTCAGGTGCTGCTGTTTTTATTTTTGTTAACGTGCTTTTATTTATTAAAAAGGTTACAGCAGAGGGGCCTGTTTTGTCTATACTGTATGCATCACTCTGTCCAAAGTGCGTGCTTGTGATGTTTTCTTAAATTGTGCGCTGTACAGAGGGAGATGGATAGAAGATGGTTTGACTTCTGCAGTATGTAAGGTGCACGCGAGTGTGGGTTCAGTGCTTTTACTCTGCAGGATGATGGAAAAAAGGTTATGACATGAGAGTTTAAAAACAGCCCGGCCGGGTGGCTGGTCGGTTGAAAACAAGGCTCTGGTTCTTTTTGCTTCTTCCCCTCCCAAGGCGGCCCCCTGGCGCACCGAGTGCGTCGAGGTGTTCTAGCCTGAGTAAATGACGTTGAGTAATAACATCTCTCTCTTGATTATGCTAATTTCCATATTCTGGTTGCCATCACCAATTCTGTTAAAGTTCTCTTTTTCAGCTGACACTTTTACCTAGAAAGACTCATTGGGTCACTGCTTGTTTTCATTTTACACCGATAGGGTGATTTGTGACGCCACATAATTGCTGCAGGGTTGTTTCAAAACCTTTGAAGTATTATCGTAGCTCTCTATTGCTGTAGTACCTTTACAGCTGTCTTGAATATCTTCTAATATGCCCAAGATTTAGCAAAAAGATAAAGGCTGGATAAAGTGTACTTTCAAAACATATTTTTGTTTGATGCTTTCTCTACCCACCTTCCAATTATTGTTAATGCAAAAGACATTAGTGATGATTTGGTAGTATTAATTTTGTAGTCATGGCTACCCTGCACTAAATTTATTTTCATTAAACACTTATTAGGGGATTTTAGAGCAGCTTTTAAAATATTGTGAGAAATATGGAACATTGCTGTCTTTTGTGTTAATGAGATAAAATGTATGACGGGAATGAAACCATCTTGTCCTACACGTCACGGCTCTGTGAGTAGTGTCCCAGGATTCTAAGATTTGCTGGAAGGTGTGACATGTTTGACGTTTCTAATCTTTTAACTCGTGGGAATTTTCAAAGAAGGGAAGTCCTTTGTAGGTGGGATAATTGGCTTCATTGAACCACCTTCTTCGCCACGTAAGAGCCGTAGAAACTTGCATTCTCTTGTCCGTGGTAAGGGGCAGCAGCCTAGCATTCTCCTTGTGGATTTGTTTGCATGTCTTTCCCCAGCAAACTGGTGTGTTAAAGAAGAATCAGAGGTGGCTCCACATTTTAAAGTAGCTTTTAACCAATTTAACCTAGTGCTTCTCAAACTTGAATATGTGTGCTCATCACCTGGGGATCTTGTTAAAAGGCTGACTCTGTTCCATGGGTCTGGGGTGGGCCTGGCTTTTTGTGTCTCTAAACCGAGGCCAATTCCCACGAGTTCTTCCCAGAAGAGACCACACTGTGAGTAACGAGGACTTAACTAGCAACTGCTGTTTCCCTTCACTGCACCCGGGCCCTTCATTTCTCATGAACTAGCACTGCAGCCAATGAAGCCTTTTTTTTTTCACAGCCGGAACCCGACTCTGTAACCATGAATTAATTTCCTATGGCTCTCATACAAACGAGCACAAACTTAGTGGCTTAAAACAACGCAACTTTATTGCCTTACAGTTCTGCAGGCGGGAAGTCTGGCGTGGGCTCTCTGAGCTGAAATCCGTCTTTCCCACTGGACTGCAGGCTCCCTGAAAGCAGGACTGGGCATTGTCTCTGCTCATGCTGGGAATGTGCTTGAGAACCTACTAAGTGCTAAAATTGTGCTGTGTGTTGAGGATACAGAGATGCCCCTGGGAAACGCACGGTCGGGTGGACATTCAGATACATCGGAACCTCTTGGTGAGTGTCAGATCAGACCATCACTTCCCCCAGCGGGCTCTAGAGTCTTCAGCCGTAAAAAATGAGACAGCATCTTGTGTTATTTAGGAAAGAACATCATAATCTTTATTAAGTATTTAGCAGCGTGTCCACTCTTAACACTTTCCAAAACCTAATCCCACAGGGCAGGTTTCCGACAATTCACTTTAGTTGTGTTTATCAAGGACTTTGTCCCCCTTTTAAAAAATTTTACCCAAACTAGTGCTCGCTTCGGCAGCACATGGACCGAAACTGGAACGATCCAGAGATTAGTGCGGTCCCTGCGCGAGGATGACATGCACATTCGTGAAGCATTCCATATTTTTGTAACCAAACAACAATAAAATAATTTTAAAAAATGAAAAATTTTTTTTTACCTAAACTAAAGCAGTTAAAAAATATGAACTAGTTGCATTCCTTTGAATCATATAAATAGAAAAATAACCATGTTCCCCTATGCAGATGACGTGGCTTACCATACAGGGTGAGAGTGCCCCTTAAAGGCTGAATAATACTCCCTAGTGTGAAAAATAATTCCCCCTGCCCTTGCTAGAACAAACAAAGCAATTCAACTGAACGTTGTGTTTGCACAGCTTTGCGGGGGTGCTGGAATGCTAATTCACGTGGATGAGCCTGCAGTCAGACACACTGTACAGTTCACACCAAGGTTCTTTGGTCACAGGGCCCAGTAGGTCACACATGTTATTCAAGTTTAAGAGGCTAATTTATCTGAGCCGTGTGCTACAGTTTGCAATCTTCCTATCAGAGCAGAACACAAAAAGAAAAGCTAACACCTCTGGGGTACTTTGGGGTAAACGGATACCGCCTGTCCAGGAGAGACAATATGCGCAAATGCTCTGGCCAATCAGAGGGCGAGAAGGATCCATGCAGGCACACAGGGCAGGTAGTGTCAGAATCTGCACCCGGAACTCTGCAGCGCCCCCTTTGGGCACCCTGTGGGAATAATGCTTTCAACATGGCTTCATCCAGGGCAGCTCAGATCTTGTGTTTTCTTGTTTATCTTCCGTATACTCATAAGTCTTCATTTACAGTAAAGTAAGGAAAATTCCTGTGTGGAGCAAGCAATAGAAAAGATGAGCACTCATTGCTTCTTGCTTACAAAAATGTAAATGTAGCCCTGGCCAGGCGGCTCGGTCAGTTGGGTGTAGTCCTGTACACCAAAAGGTTGGAGTTCGATCCCGGTCAGCTCGCTTCGATGTTCTTCTCTCTCTCTCTCCCTTCCTCTCTCTAAAATCAATTAAACAACAACAACAATATCCTCTGGTGAGGGTTAAAAAAAAGTAAACTAATAATGCTACTAGACCTAGTGCGGTGATCACTCTGTAAGCTGTGTAAACATTTAGTCACTGTTGTACACCTTGAAACTAATATCACATTGTGTGTCAACTATAATTGAAAAATAAATGTAAAAAGTCACCAATGCAATATGTTGCGCTTTGATGCAAAATGCCTTGCAGGCTGTCCCAGCGCGGGGGCGGGTGTTTGTGCCGCAGCCGGGGGGCTGGGCTGTTCTGGTCTGGGCGTGCACCTGCTGAGTGTTAAGAGGACTGCATACCTGAGACGCAGCGTCAGGTGTTTCTATAAAGCATTAAAACTCCAAAGGCAGAAATCTTCATTCTTAGCTGTTTTTAAAATGTGTTTTGTGTGTGTGTGTGTTAGAGTGTCAAATTAGCAACAAGAGAAATACTGCGACCTTCCCAAAATGTAAATTTATACATTAGAAAATTATTTTTGCATTAGCATGCTTCCAATTTTCAGCTGACAAGACCCATATGCTATTTGACATAAATTTGTGAGAGGATTTTTTAAACTCCTCACGTGGGTTCTTTATTCAGGCATGGGCTGGCCCGTTCCTATTCCGCGCGTCCTCTGCACCCGCAAGCTGCGGAGCCCGGATGGGGAAGTCACAGGGTGGGGGGAGGAAGCGAGAGCCGCGGCCCGTGCAGCCCCACTGCTCTGCTGGGAGTTCTGCTCTCGGACCTGCCCGCTGGTATCGGATTGTCTCCCTCCCTTTATTGTGGACACCCATCCCGAAATCTGGAACTGGGCTGCCTAGGGCTAGTTTTTCTTTCTCCTGGCTGGGTTCTGTCTCCTGCCATTCTTCTTTCTGCAGAGTCATTATTTCAGCATCGATTTTATGTGTGTATTTTTTACACGTTAGATGGATTCTGAGGTTACGAAGGTATAATAGGGAATGGTCCTGCCGGAAGGACCTGCTTGAGGGAAGTCCCGACTCGTCACCCCCAGAGCAAAGTGCCCTGATTCCCGCTGTGAGTGAGCAGTGTCACGTGTGGTAAAGACTTAGTTTTTCACTCATAGCAGAAACAAAATTCTTCATTTTAGGTGTTCAGAAATATGTTACAACTTTTAAAAAATGGAGTTAGAGACTGTATCGGTATAGGAAATGTGAGGAAACACCAAACATTTAATCGGATGAGCACTTTTGGCAAAGCCAAAACTCAACAATGCATTTTTCTCCCTCCAGTGAATTCTAGTGTAGTTCTGTGAGTTCAGATTACTAAAAACGAAGAAACGTCTTCTTTCAACAAAACTTAGGAGTAATTTTTCTGAGCAAATTCTTTAAATTTTACAAAAGAATTAGTGCATATATATTATTTCAGCTAATTATTAGAACGGAAGTGAATTTTCACCGTACTGGATTGGACTGACTTTTCAGGTCATTTGAAAAGGCAGATGGGTGGATTCTTTCTGCCCTTTAAAAATAAATTGCTGCTGAGTTCACTGCATTCTCATGCTGGCTAGTGTTACTGTCAACTTTAAGGACAGTCATCTATAACACCAGTTGTTTTATATGAACTTTTTTATTTTTAATGAATTTTAGATTTACAGAAACACCGCGAAGATATAGTACTGTTTCCCCTATTAACTTCTTACACAACCACCAGACTTTCGTTGGAATAAGAAACCAGCCCTGCCAACTAATGCCCGACCTGACTCGCACTGCCCCAGCTTCCAGCCGCCGTGCGGTCCCTGCGCCTGGTTCCAGTGCAGGTCGCCGCGGCTCTTCTCCTCGGCGCCTCCCTCCCCTGCTCTGGCAGCGGTCTCTCAGTCTTCCCTTCTCGTCGGTGACCGTGGAAGTTTGGAGCACTGGTCGGGCGTTTTGGAGAACGTGCCGTGAGTTTCTCTTATGCTGGGATTTTGAGAAGTGGGGACACGCCACGGAAGTAAAGGGCACACAACCCAGAACGTTGGGGTCTGTGACGTCGGAGACATCCCTCCAGCATGGCGTCGACCTCCAGCACTGGTCCAGGCTCTTTCCAGGCTTCGCTCCTGTCAAGCGACTGTTCTTCTCCAGTGCGTATGCAGTTCTTCGGAAACCTGTCCCTAAACCCAGCCCACACTCACCGTCCAGTAGGTGGTCGGCGGAGTTGTTGAAGGCCCGCCAGGGCCACCAACCCCGGGTGTATGTTCTCCGTCTAATCCTTTTCACTCGGGCTTGTGAATCTGCTGGGACGGTGACGGGTGGTGGGACAGCCACTGCTGTGTGTGGGTGGCGGGTACAACTCTGTGAGGCTCGGGGAGAGGCTCCCAGTGGAACTGAAAACGTGACCCCAGTGTCGTGAGAGGGCCCCGTGGCTCTGGCCCAAGAGTGGCCTCTTGGAACTGAGAGATTTTAATTTGTTTTACAGCCATAGAGAATGAATTCAAGAAATTACAGGAAGTGAACACAGATAATTAAGATAAGCAAACTTACATCCTTTGCTATCCACATTGTCTTTTATGCCTTATCTATAGATGAATTCTAAACGTAGGAAAACAGTACATAAATTATTATGGTTGTAAATATATTCTGCACAATTTAAATGTGTGCCAGGATCCCACCCGAGTCGAACGAATTTTCCGTCTTTCTCCTGCTCCAGTGCCCAGAAACCGTGGCACACTTCAGTTTGTTGTAGATTCAGTTTTTGATAAATAGCATTTTATTTTAAAAATCCTTCATTTTTTTCTAATAAAAAGAAGACAGGCCCGAGTCCCTTGAACACTTATTTCTACTTACTGAATGAATCACTGCATTCTTTATTTGGAGGCAGACTTCATAGAGTCGGTTGATTTCTACGCCAGTTTGGGCAGTTCGAGGTCTCGGCCTGATGCACACGCACCAGCCTGGGGTGCAGCGCAGTCTAAGGCCTCTCTGGGGTGCTTATTAACACTTTAAGAAGTCCTCTTTGTTCCTGAGTTTTTTGTTGACAATGGTCAATTCCATCTGTTGGTCGTATTTTCTTTGCTGCTGGTTACCTTCACATGGCCGATAGTCAGTGCTTGCTTACTCACGTTGAAGAGTAAGGAGCTGTGTTGGTTATACCGAGGACTCGGTATGGGCCTCTGATGCTGTGTGTGCATGCACTCTCCGCCGAATGAGAAGGCTGTCGGAATCTCTTGCTCCTTTTATTTCTCTGAGTCTTCTTGACCATGTGGTCAGAGGCAGAGCGCTGCCTCGTAAGGTCGAAGGTCCCCCGAGTCCTGGAAGAGGCCTTCTTCTGGGGTGGTCACACCGCACAAGTACTGTCGCTGTCTCCGGGCAGCTCTTCATGCTGTTTTTAGAAGAGGTTAAGTGTGCTTTCTGATGGGAAGAGGGAGGTAAGCACTGTGTGGAGGCTGTGTACAGGGTGTGGGTGCATGTGTGTGTGTGTGTGTGTGCAGGGCATGACCACACACACACACGTAGGTGTATTTGCCGGTGTGTGTACTCTGCAGAGAGACATTAGATAGAAACTACTGTGTTCGCTCCCTTCACTTCTGTGCTCTGTGCCCACCTGCACCGAGCCTGGTCCATCTGGGGTTGTACTGGGGAGGGGCTGGCCTTCCCCTGCAGCCGGACTCCCTCCTGGTCTTCTCGTGAGCAGATTTCCATGCTCACTCCTATGTCCTCAGTTCACGCCACCGATAGGCTCTCCAGCTCTAAGCGCAAGGCCGGATAATGACACCATTTTACTCTGGGTTAAGAGATGCTTGCAGCATCTCTTTGGCATTATAATGAAACGACAGTGAGTGAAAATGCCCGTATTCAAGGATCGGCTATACTCTCAGACTGCCAGAAAACGTAGTCTCTCCTTCCCAAATGACCAGCTACAAATCTCTTTGCTCTTGCAGGTATCTTCACGTCTCCGTTCCTTGTGTCCTGCGTTCCAGGAAGGAGGAAGGGGGCAGGCGCAGGCGCACACCTTTGGAGGGGGCCTCAGGCGCTCCCTCTCCATCTTCACTCTCCTCTGCTAGTCTCAGGCTTGCTAGCCTCTCGCCTCCCCGGTCCTTCTCCCGCTCCACCCGCCGGTTGCAGAGGCTTGCA